GAATTGATCAGGGCCTAGCACTGAGGCGGAAATCAGAAATGATCAGAATTGATCAGAGCCTAGCACAGAGGTAGGAATCAGAACCGATCAGAAATGATCAGAGCCTAGCAATGAGGTGGCAATCAGAAATGATCAGAATTGACCAGAGCCTAGCAAGGAGGTAGGAATCAGAAATCGGCAGAATTGATCAGAGCCTAGCACTGAGGTAGGAATCAGCAATGAGCAGAAGCGATGAGAGCCTAGCACTGAGGTAGGAGTGAAAACTGATTCAAATTGATCAGAGCCTAGCACTCAGGTAGGAATCGGAACTGATCCAAATTGGTCAGAGTCTAGCACGGAGGTAGGAATCAGAACCGATCAGAAATGATCAGAGCCTAGCACTGAGATAAGAATCAGAAATAATCAGAATTGATGAGAGCCTAGCAGGGAGGGAGGAATCAGAAAAGAGAAGAATTGATCAGACCCTAGCGCTGACGTAGGAATCAGAATTGATCAGAGCCTAGAACTGAGGTAGGAATCAGAATGGATGACAGCCTAGCACTGAGGTAGGAATCAGAACTGATCAGAATTGATCAGAGACTAGCACGGAGACAGGAATCAGAAATAATCAGAATTGATCAGAGCCTAGCACTGAGGTAGGAATCAGAACCGATCGGAATTGATCAGAGCCTAGGACTGAAGTAGGAATCAGAAATGAGCAGAATTGATCAGAGCCTAGCACTGAGGTGGGAATCAGAAATGATTAGAACTGATCTGTGCGTAGCACTGAAGAAGGAATCAGAACTGACCAGAATTGATGAGAGCATAAGACTGAGGTGGCAATCAGAAATGATCAGAATTGATCAGAGCCTAGCACGGAGGTAGGAATCAGAATTGATCAGAGCCTAGCATGGACATAGGAATCAGAAATAATCAGAATTGATCAGAGCCTAGCACTGAGGTGGCAATCAGAAATGATCAGAATTGATCAGAGCCTAGCACGGAGGTAGGAATCAGAAATGAGCAGAATTGATCAGAGCCTAGCATTGAGGTAGGAATCAGAAATGATTAGAACTGATCAGTGCGTAGCACTGAAGTAGGAATCAGAACTGATGAGAGCCTAGCACTTAGGTAGGAATCAGAAAGTATCAGAATTGATCAGAGCCTAGCACCGAGGTGGCAATCAGAAATGCTCAGAATTGATCAGAGCCTAGCACTGAGGTAGGAATCAGAAATTACCGGAATTGATCGGAGCCTAGCACTGAGGTAGGAATCAGAAATGATCAGAACTGATCAGAGCCTAGCACTGAGGTAGGAATCAGAATTGATCAGAGCCTAGCACTGATGTAGGAATCAGAAATAGTCAGAATTGATCAGAGCCTAGCACTGTGGTGGCAATCAGAAATGATCAGAATTGACCAGAGCCTAGCACTGAGGTAGGAATCAGAATTGATCAGAGCCTAGCACTGAAGTAGGAATCAGAAATGAGCAGAATTGATCAGAGCATAGCACTGAGGTAGGATTCAGAATTGATCAGAGCCTAGCACTGAGGTAGGAATCAGATATGATCAGAATTGAGAAGAGCCTGGCACTGAGGTAGGAATCAGAAATGAGCAGAATAGATCAGAGCTTAGAACTGAGGGAGGAATCAGAAATAATCAGAATTGATCAGAGCCTAGCACTGAAGTAGGAGTAAGAAATGAGCAGAACTGATAAGAGCCTAGCACTGAGGAAGGAATCAGAAATCATCAGAATTGATGAGAGCCTTGCACGGAGGTGGCAATTAGTAATGATCAGAACTGATCAGAGCCTAGCACTGAGGTGGCAATCAGAAATGATCAGAATTGATCAGAGCCTAGCACTGAGGTAGGAATCAGANTCAGAGCCTAGCACTGAAGTAGGACTGAGAAATGAGCAGAACTGATCAGAGCCTAGCACTTAGGTAGGAATCAGAAATGATCATAATTGATCAGATCTTAGCACTGAGGTAGGAATCAGAAATCATCAGAATTGATCAGAGCCTAGCACTGAGGTAGGAATCAGAAATGATCAGAATTGATCAGAGCCTAGCACTGAGGTAGGAATCAAATGATCAGAATTGATGAGAGCCTAGCACTGAGGTGGCAATCAGAAATGATCAGAATTGAACAGAGCCTAGCACAGAGGTAGGAATCAGAATTGATCAGAGCCTAGCACGGAGATAGGAATCACAAATAATCAGAATTGATGAGAGCCTAGGACTGAGGTGGCAATCAGAAATGATCAGAATTGATCAGAGCCTAGCACAGAGGTAGGAATCAGAATTGATCAGAACCTAGACCTGAGGTAGGAATCAGAATGGATCACAGCCTAGCACTGAGGTAGGAATAAGAAATGATTAGAACTGATCAGAGACTAGCACTGAGGTAGGAATCAAAACCAATCCGAAATGATCAGAGCCTAGCAGTGAGGTAGGATTCAGAATTGATCAGAGCCTAGCACTGAGGTAGGAAAGAGAACCGATCCGAATTGATCAGAGCCTAGCACTGAAGTAGGAATCAGAAATGAGCAGAATTGATGAGAGCCTAGCACCGAGGTGGCAATCAGAAATGATCAGAATTGACCAGAGCCTAGCAATGAGTTGGCAATCAGAACTGATCAGAATTGAACAGAGCCTAGCACTGATGTAGGAATCAGAACTGATCAGAATTGATCAGAGTCTAGCACTTAGGTAGGAATGAGAAATGATCAGAATTGATCAGAGCCTAGCACTGAAGTAGGACTCAGAAATGAGCAGAACTGATCAGAGCCTAGCACTGAGGTAGGAATCAGAACTGATCAGAATTGATGAGAGCCTAGTATTTAGGTAGGAATCAGAAATGATCAGAATTGATCAGAGCC